CCCAGGCTGGAGTGCAATGGCACGTTCTCAGCTCACCACAATCTCCGCCTCCTGAGTTCAAGCAATTCTCCTGCCTCAGCCTCCCAAGTAGCTGGGATTACAGGCATGCGTCACCACACCCAGCTAATTTTTTTGTATTTTTAGTAGAGATGGGGTTTCACCATGTTGGCCAGGATGGTCTCGATCTCTTGACCTCATGATCAGCCTGCTTTGGCCTTGCAAAATGCTGGGATTACAGGTGTGAGCCACCACGCCTGGCCAAAAAAATTTTTTTAATTAATTAAAATAAAGATGTCTAACTCTGTTTTGAGACACTGTGTATTTCAGGAAACAGGAAAGCATTATATGTTTAATTGCAATGCTTTTCTTTCTCAATGGTATATAAAATGTTGGGTTACAATCAATAGCATAACTGAGGCTCAGAAAGGTTAAGTTACTTGCCAAATCATTATACAGCTAGGAAATAGCAGAGCAGCATTTCAAAAGAGGTTGGCTCAATTCTCCAGAGCATGCTTTTAGCTGCTGTGTTTCCTCTTGTTTGTGTATGTAGTAAATTGGAGAAAGACAGTATAGTTTTTAAAAATTATCTCTTCTACCCTTAACAGTAGAGTAGCTAAACTTCTGTCATATTTCTCTTTTGTCCTTACCTTCACCTCACTTAGCTGTTGACAGATCCATGACTGCCAGTCTGAGTGATGCTCGGGATGCTCTAGTGAATGCAGTCATTGACTCCCTTTCTGCCTACCGTTCTTCAGTCTTAAGTAACCAGCAGCCTGGATTGATAGTTCCTTTTTCTTTGCGGCTTTTCCCACTTTTTGTGTTGGCTCTCCTTAAACAGGTAAGAAAAACAGATACAGAAACTAACACAATGATGGCCAGAAACTGTGGCCTACACCTGCAATCCGGGCACTTTGGGTGGCTGACATGGGTGGCTTGCTTGAGTCCATGTATTTGAGACCAGACTGGCCAACATGGTGAAACCCCATCTCTCCAAAAAATATAAAAAAAACTAGCCAGGTATGGTGGTGCACGCCAGTAGTTCCAGTTACTCAGGAGGCTGAAGTGGGAGGATTGTTGAGTCCAGGAGACAGGGATTATAGTGAGCACATGTCGCGCTGCTGTACTTCAGCTTGGGTGACAGAGCCAGACTCTGCCTCAGAACAAAACAAAACAAAAGAAATGAACACAGTAGAGAAATCAAAAGGCAAAATTTTTATCCTATGAATCCCTAAACATTGTATACATAACTTTATGCTGGTTAAATTTCTGAGGACAGGGGCCTTGCCTCTTATTTGAACTTTGAAAAGTTTTATAACCAAAGAAACTTACAAATAACTGATTCAGAGCAAATTCCTTGTTTATAAGATGCTTCTCTGGCTGGGTGCAGTGGCTCATGCCTGTAATGTCAGCACTTTGGGAGATTGAGGCGGGCAAATCATGAGGTGAGGAGTTCAAGAGCAGCCTGACCAACATGATGAAACCCCTTCTCTACTAAAAATACAAAAATTAGCCAGGCATGGTGGCACCTACCTGTAGTCCTAGCTACTACTCTGTAGGCTGAAACAGCAGAATCAGTTGAGCCCGGGAAATGGAGATTGTAGTGAGCCAATATCGAGCCACTGCGCTCTAGCCCAGGCAACAGAAAGAGACTCCATCTCAAAAAAAAAAA